ATACCTATAGGCTGAAGGTAGTGTTAACACATTTTTAATTTAATAAATTGAGCTCGACAGTCTTCTCTGAATTTTAGATTTGCTATTATTCGAATTGCCTTTCTCTGAAGTTGAAATAGAAGATATCGTATGGAGGTATGCCCCCACAAAAGAAGACCATACCTAAGATGTGAGTCACATATTGCGAATTACACATTGCCGAGATATTCAGATGAAAGTTGATCTTTGAGACATCTTACATTAAAAACATGTTTTCGGTTATTTTTCTTGAGTAACCTCACCATGAGTAGTCCAAGATAACTTAGCGTCCATATGAAATCCTAGAAAATATGCGCTTGTAACATTGTTCGTTAAGCTTTCAGATTTTTTAGGGTAAACTTGATTTTTGTAGTTTTGTCGATGTTTAACTTTAGATTGTTAGCTGAAAACGACTCCAAGGCTTCGAGATTAAAAGGCCATATTCCTTCTAAAGCCATTTTCAGTTTTTCTATAGCAACTACATGCATGGAAAAATTGGGCTATGTCATTGGCCGTTACTTTCTCAAAATGTAATAGATGGTGCTCACACTGTCGATTAAATGAGGCCTTCAGTGGCCCGAAAAACGTTAAATCTAGTTGTTGCATCTTGTGTGACGTGTGGGGAGGTGTGATTAAAAGTACAATATGATTTTCTCGACAAAATGTGATAATAGGAACTGAAATGTGACTTGTGTGGTTATCTAGTATTATTCAAGCCGGGTCCTCCTCTGACAGATTTACCACACTAAAATGATGTAGCCACTGATAAAATATTTCTTTTGGACCATTTATAAACAGCGTTAGGAGGAACATTTTTTGTAAGGAATCACACGTTTTTAAAAGAGGTATAACAAACAGTGGTGGTATGTAACAAGTACCAGTTGCATTGTAACAACATATAGTATTTGCCATTTCTATTGAAACACCACTTGTTAATCGTAAATTTGGCAACGTTCATATTCAAACAATTTTCTAACTAAAAGCCGTTGTCAATTAACCGAAAGCTGTTACCAATTGCCAAATTTTAAGCAAAATCAACAGGTGGTGTTTCAATAGAAATGGCAAAGACAATATGTCTGTTATATTTTTTCCTCTTTAACTGCTTAACACCTTTTGGTCCTAATCGTTTATGTGGCATATAAACGGTGGTTATACCCGTTTCGTCAACGTTAAATATTTTCTCTGATTTGATTTAAATTTGTGTTTTTAATAAATGGTTCTTAAATTTTCAAAAAATGTTTTCATTAAAGCTACATATGCGGTTAATACTAGTTGGCTCTGGTTTACGTAACACAATTCAAGATTCCGTCTTAAAAATCTGTAGTAAGTACCAATCTTTGCCAGCCATTTTTCGGTCTTCATTAAAACTATGTTTAATGTCGTTGCCTTCAGCAAATGAGAATGCTAATTTACATACTTGAACAGGGCTTGATCCATAAAATAATCTACCTAATGTTAAAGCATGTTTCCTCAACTCCTCTTCTTCATTTTGAGGAAAAACAAAACACCTTCCAAAACGAGGGTCCTTTGAAACAAGCCCTTCATTTAAAGCTTTTAATAATGCTTTGCGTATAGATGATTCTGGTATTCCACATTTTCGACCAACCCCTCTAATACTGTTTCCATTTTGTACAAATCGTAGGTGTAGCATTTTTCATTAAATCAGCACACCACCCTGGCTTGTTTGTTTTACGAATATACTTGGGCATCTAAAATTGTTAAACAGTAAAAATAAATTCTGTAAAAGTGCGCACTGGGTACTATTTGCCGATAAATTTCTTTTGATATTAAAAATTTATAACAATTAACCAATAATTAACTCAATATTATGAATAAAATGGGTAGTATAAAAGACTAGCTTTCGATTGAGATAAAAATTATTAAAATAAGTTGTAAAATACAGTACTTACAGCTTATTTTCAACTCTTCCACAATTACTTCAAAAACCCGTTTGGTTTAGTTTCTTTGGTGTACTCTCATGTATACAGTCTCGACGAGTATTATCACTATTTGTCTTAAATTACGAGTAGGTACTTATAAATGCTTTTCAGTTCCGTTATTTTATTAATTAAATCAAGATTCAAGAATGACTACTGTAGTACTGTTATTATTAGTACTAAACTGCATCTATTCAAAGTGATATATCAGCTTTTGCATCTTGATCACAAACTTTTGTAAAACTCACTTGAAACAAAGGCATAGCACGCTACTTTACCTTTACTTGAACATTACATATATATCTTTATTTTAAGTTATAGTTATAAGCCGTGTTATCATGAAAAAATAAAATTCACAAAATCAAATCTTTTAATTTTTCGAAACAGCTGGATTTAATGTACTATACTTTGTCGGCTAGGGAAGTTCGGTCAAAGCAATTTTCGACCAATTTTTTTTTATAGAAAATCATTTGAAATATACGCACAACATGCACCTCTACTTCAACACTACACACACATCTTTATTCTTTAGTGGTTAACGACATCGGAGTACCAAAAAATTGGCCGAAAGTTAGTTCGACAGAACTTTCCTCGGCGCTGAACTGCAATAAAATATATTCAGCTTTTTGGAAAATTTTTATAAAATTTGATTTTGCAAATTTTATTAATTTTTTTTTTAATAAAGACGTGTGAACTGTTAAAATACAAGTAAAAAAGCATGCTATGTGAATGATTCAAGTGAATTATTCCATAACAAACTTTTGTGATAGCGGCATCAATCAATATTTTGTCAAGGACACGTATATCAGTTTGAGTAGATACAGTACAACATTAATAATACACACATTTTCGGAAAAATAGGGTGCTCCGTTCTTGATTTGCTAAAAATATACAATTCATTAATTGATGTGTGTCACCCTGTATAAGTAATATGAAAAAATATGTATCCATTGATTAACCACAAGTAAAGAGTCATAACGTTTTTGTATTTTAGATAACATATATTCAACTTATGTTAATCGTAACATGTTTGCAAGATTTCAAAGCATTCGGTTGTGCAATTTCAATCTTAAATTATTAAATGCTGTTATACAACTTCTATTCTTTTCCAAAAATCTGGCCGTCTAAGGTAAAAACTGAACATAATGTAAAGAAGCGTGCTACGGTTATATTTCAAATGAGTTTTTTCTTTACAAAATTTTGTGATGACGTCATCAACTTTTTTGTAAGGACACGTATATCGATCAACTTAGATTGGTGTAGTGATTTAACCAATCGTGATTTAACCTGTCGATGTGCTCAATGCATTTGCCCAATTTTTTTCTAGTGCATTTAAAAATTCGAAATCATCCTTTGGTCCACCTACACATTGTGATATTAACTCCCTAGGTATAATTCTGACACCTGTCACGACCAAAGATGTTATTTCTGCGTGCAAAAAGCTTAAAAATAAATTTACTTCCGGTGTTAATAACATTCCAGCTTTCGTTATTAAAGATTGTGTCACTATTTTTGCGGAACCTTTATCTCATTTGTTTACCACTTGCATTGAGAGTGGTAAATATCCAGACTTATTTTTTGATAAATTAGGTAATATCTTTAAAGAAATTTCCGACATTTGATATGTGTTGCATTGTTAAGTAATTACCTCGTAAGCTTAGTACTATAAGAATTCCGTTAAGTTTGATTGTAAATATATTTAAATTTTGAAGTTTTTTGTTTTTATTGTAATTATCCTGTAATTGGACAAAAGTTCCCTGAATAATAAATCTTTACTATTTGCTATTATTAATATTATTATTATTAATAAAATAAATTGACTCATCCATTTTTTTGGCAAATCTAAAAACTATTAATGCAGTAATAATTCATAAGTCAAAACTCATCATGTTTCGCACATTTTAGGTAGGATTTAATTGGCAAAAATTTTGAGATAACGTCTTCAATTTTTTGGGCAGATAAATAGATATGTTTTGATTAAAAATTTACCACCAAACGTCTACAAGATTTCCAAGCATTAGGTTTTGCAGTCCCTAATTTAATCAGTAAAATAAATGGATTCGATCTTTTTTTTTGAGTCACCCTGTATAAGCAGTCCTAAAAAATGTGAATGCAAAAAAATCACTAATCATATTTTGGATATTTTAGTTAGGATTTATTCGGCAAAATTTTGTTTAAAGATTTATCATGCTTACGATAACTTTAAAACATCTTAAGATTTCAAAGCATCCGCTTTTGCAGGTTCGAAATTAAATTGTATAATTTTGATTTTTTTTTGTTGTCTTGGGTAAAAATTCAACACGGATTCATAACTACACGTATAGGACTATGTTATTTGATAGAATTTAAAACACATTTAGTATGTACAGTTTTGAAGTGCCGTCATCAGACTGTTGGTGGGGATGATTAGATAAAGTTTGATTAGTGTTTTATATTTACATGATATTCATAACACGCATAAAATGTAACAATCAGTTCGGTAGTTTCGCAGATTTATTACCTGTGTAACAAAAATCGACACAGATGGCGGACAGACTGACAGACACACAGACATACAGACTGACGGAAACTTTATAGGGGTTCTGACACATCGCAAGTGGCCACTGGCCAGTCCCCCGATGGACTCGCCTACAATACTTCCTTAGCATACGCTCCGGGAACAAAAATAAAATTCGCAACATCAGATTTTATAATAAATACTCGAAAAGACTAGATATGTTGTACTGTACCTCAGGGCCCAGGGAAGTCCCAAATTGCCTTATACGATTTTGTTAAATACAGAAATAATATTTATTTGAGTTAATAAAAAAAAAAAGTAATCAGATCGCATATAATTCAGAATTTAATGGTGTACAATACAAGTGCAACATTGGTGTTAAAAACTTTATTTTATAAAATTATAACGTGTAATGCTCCTATCAAGGTTGTGAAAATGCAGATCAATTTTTAAATTTGTGTATGTGTGTATGTTGGTAGTGACACCAAGGACTTAAAATCAATTTTTATACGTATCGTACTAACTAGATGAACAAAACTTCCACTTACGATTTAAAAAACGAACTCATGGGATCACAAAAATTTATCTTTCGTTGTTACCTTTGACACAGCACCACCCTACACAATCACGGACACTAAATAACTGTGAAATAGATTTATTTACACCTGCAAAGGCTGTATGAACGGATCCCCCTCCACAATGCGCATCTCGTCGTTTACTAGGACACGGAATCAACTCACTTGTATCTGGTATCCGTATTTCGAATTTAAATTTTATCTTTGTCACTATAAAAATGACAATTTCAACTACAGTTTACGAAAATGTACTATTTGTAATTTATATAAATCGAGCGTCATTAGGACAAATCGTTTTAAAAGAATGTTTAGGTTATATGAGGGACTTTAACTCTTGTTCTATTGTAGTTATTGCTTCTTTCTTGTTGGTAACTGGATTATTTGGAGTATATAACGGTAGTAAAACACCTTTAAATTTTCTCCTATGACGTGGAAGGCCGATGACTCAATACCACACTTTGTGTATGTGTTGTTCCAAATAACTACAAAAATAGTCGAAATATAACGTATCTACTCAACGTTTACTGATTAAAGTATATAGTTATGGTTACACACATTAAGAAAAAAATCTTGAGCGCCTCCCCTCGCTGTCCGGGCGAGTGTTCTTTCAAATGAGCTACCGGTCGAACTTATATTTTCTCACTTCCACTTATATATCGCCGCTACAAGTCTACAACATTAAGTTGACATGATTTTCATTACGATTTGTAATTTGATTTACTCTTAAGCAAACTTACTTAGACTACCTATTCAATTTTCAACCCCAGAAGCTCAGATCATAATTTAACGGATCATTGTTAATAATAAAATATCTTTTTTAATGGCCTTTTTAAGTTGTATATATCAATCTCAAAATACAATTTTATAGAGAACTGCAGTTGTAGACATTTTGATCTAGTTTTTTCAGTTTTCAATTTTCTGTTGACAAATGTGTGAAGATACTCTGTTGTCAAAGGATCATTAATTCATTATCTTCCAGATTTCTGTTTTTTGCTACTTTGTGAACCAAAAAAATAGTCTAAGATTACTTATACAGAACATCTATCGCCAGTGACATAAAATATCCAGAATTTTCGAAAAATTGTTAACATTGATCTTGATAATTTTATTTTTTTCATGATAACCTCTATTAAGTAGTTAAAATAACGTTAAGTATGTAATCTTAAACTAAAGATAAAGAAGCAGGCTAGTGTATGTTTCAAGCGAGTGTTTCAGTTACAAAATTTTGTGATGACGTCATCAACATTTTTGCTAGGACAGTTATATCAACTTGGATTGGTGCAGTGTAATAGTATTGTATTCCCAAAATTTACTGGGGATCTAAAAAATATGAATGCAATGATAAATTACAAGTACAGGCTGATCATGATCACAGTTTGCACATTTTAGCTACATTTAGACATATTCGGCAAAATTTTGAGACGACGTCATCAATTTTTTGGGGTTGATAAACAGATACATTTTCATTGAAAAGTGACCATGCTTACAATAAGTTCAAAACGTCTGCAAGATTTCAAAGTATTCAGTTTTGCACTTCTTGATTTAATCAATAAAATAAATTGACTCACTCATTATTTTTTGAGACACTCTGTATAAGTAAATCTAAAAAATTGGTCGAAAGTTGTTTCCACAGAACTTCCCTTGCTCCAATAGAGTAAATAACACCCCGTCAATCACTGCGCCGCAAGGGTGCAAATTCCAAAGGGGCACGGTCTGTACAAATACGGACAATATGAAATATATTTAAAGCAGATAATAATCAGTGATGGGAAACAATGTATTCTTAATTCCTAGTATTTGTTTAACTTTAACAGTTTTAATGGTCGAACAAATCGAACAATCGAACAAAATGTTCCGAATGTTATATATAATTCTCATTTTATCATTATCATTTAACACTATTATATACAGACGTACGTATTCTTCATATTTTCGAGAAAATGGGGTGACTCTTTCTTAATTTGCCGAATAAAAAATTTATGACGACGTCATCAACATGGATAATATAAGTCGCAGCACAAAAGAAAAATAGTCACAGCGTATTACCAGTGCATGGAAAATTGGTCGAAAGTTGTTTCGACAGAACTTCCCTCGCTCCTGACGTACAATGAAACATATTCGAGTTGAGTTTTTTCTTTACACAATTTTGTGAAGACGTCATCAACATTTTTGCAAAGACACGTATATCAACTTATATTGATGCCATGTAATTCTAAAAATAATTGTATTGTATTCCCAACATTTTCTGGGAAAATCAAGTGAGCCGTTGCTGATTTAATTAATAAAATAAATTGTCTCATTCATTAATTTTTTTAAGCTACCTGTTTAAGCAAATCTAAATGAGAAGCAGGCTTCACGAACATGTTATGTACAATATTATTTGCAATGAATAAACTTAAAAACCGAAAAGATTAACTGTGAGTTATTTATAAATAGAGCTAGGCGGTTGAAATATATGCGTCGGTCTCTCTAAATAAAACTATTAAATGTAAATTATCAAAAATGATGCGAGTAAGGCAGTGGCGTAGCTAACTTCCACTGCGCCCCCCCGCAGTTTATAGTAAGCGCCCTCATGCACCAAATTTAAAAAGTAATATAAATATGTACTTACTCGTTTGTACATTTTAAAAAATATATCGGTTACGTTACGGTCTGCGCCCCTTTTGGCGCTGCGCCCCCCTGCAGTACGGGGTCTGCGGGGGGCGCAGACCCCGTACTCCACCTCTGGAGTAAGACGAGGTTGCACAGGCCGCACTCCAGACGGGTAGTGAGGATGAATAAATGCCGACCGCCCAGCTTTATTTATAAACATTATAAACAACGACGTTGACGGCGCCGTAAACACTTAGCAATTTGACGTTTCCGGGCTAGGTTATCATGGCAACGACAGCAAAAAGCACGTGTGCGGGAAGTTCGACCTCCCGCATCCTGGTGAATGTGCGATATCATCAAAAAAGGTCATGGGTGAAAAAATTTATTTACATACTTGATCAACGAGAATAAAGCTATCTCAGCAATATGCGTTGTATTAACAATGTTAATGTTTATACATCGGAAGAATATCACGTAGACATTTGTTTGATTTGCATGAGTTTATCGCCTCGAAACAGATGACTAAAATTATTCATAAGCCTCCATTGAACAAAATATACTGAATACTATTATTATAATTCTTACTTTATCATTATTTAATTGTTATAAAGACGAGCGTATTTTCACATTTTACAGAAACTGGAGTGGCTCGTTCTTAATTTGATCAATATTAAATTGACTAATTCATTATTTTTTTTAAGTTACCCTGAACAAGCAAATCTAAAAAATATAAATGCAATGATTAATTACAAGTATAGTCTGATTATATTTTACACATTCGCAATTTTATTCGGCAAAATTTTTAGATGATGTAATCAATTTTTTTGAGATTGACAAACAGATACATTTTGATTAAAAAGCTACCATGCTTACAATAACTTCAAAACGTCTCAGTCATTAATTTTCTTCAGACACCCCGTATAAGCAAATCTAAAAAATATTAATGCAGTGATAAATAACAAGTATAGACTCATCATATTTTGCACATTTAAGATAGCATTTTTTCAACAAAATTTTGGGGTGGCGTCATCAATTTTTTAGGAGGCATGAGCAGATACATTTTGATGCAAAATTTTTCATGCCTATGATGACTTTAAAACATCTCCAAGTTTTCAAAGCACTTGGTTTTGTGGTTTCTGATTAAATCAATAAAAATATTCACGCATTCATTTTTTTTTGAGTCATCCTGTATATGCAAGTCCAAAAAATATGAATGGAATGATAAATCACAAGTAGAGACTCATCATATTTTGTCCAATTTAGATAGGATTTATTTGGAAAACTTTTGAGCTGACGTTATCATTTTTTTGGAGGGTGTAAGTAAATATATTTTGATTAAAAATGTATCATGCTTATTATAACTGTAAACCATCGGCAAGATTTCAAAGCATTCGGTTGTGCAGATTCAAAATTAAACACTTTTTACTTCCCGAGCGTAAGCAAAGGAAGTGTTGTAATCGAGTCCGTCGGCCGACTCTCTACTTTTACGTTTTCTCGATCTTTCATGACCCCTAGAAGACGAAGAAATAGGTCTCCCATTTCCGTCTGTCTGTCCGTCTGTCCGTCTGTCCGTCCGTCCGTCCGTCTGTCCGTCTGTCCGTCTGTCCGTCCGTCTGTCCGTCTGTCCGTCTGTTGTCCCGGATTTTTATTAGACAGATAATCTCCGAAAGTACTCGACCGATTGTTGTGAAATTTTGTACTTATATTAAGAATATCATGTAGATGGTAAAACGCTAACCAAAATTTGTCGAATCATCCCCACCACTAAAGCGATGACGTCACTTCAAAATTGTACATAGTAAATGGGTTTTCAATTGTATAAAATAACATAGTCCTACACATGTAGTTTACAACTCTGAATCGACTTTTCACCCGAAACGTCCAGATTTTTGGAAAAAAAATCAAAATTATAAAACAACATTTTGAAATTTAATTTTTAATCTGCTAACCAGAATGCTTTGAAATGTTGCAGATGTTTTAAGGCTATAAAGAGCATCATAAATCTTTAGTCAAAAAATATTTGCTTATCCCCTCCAAAAACTTGATGACGTCAGCTCAAAAGTTTGTGGAATAAATCATATCTAAAATGTACAAAATATGATGAGTCTGTACTTGTGATCTATCACTCCATTCATATTTTTTGGATTTGCATATACAGGGTGACTCAAAAAAATTAATGAATGCGTAAATATATTTTATTGATTTAATCAGGAACTACAAAACCGAATGCTCTGAAATCTTGCAGATGTTTTAAGGTCATAAAGAGCATAATAAATGTTTAGTCAAAATATATTTGCTTATCCCCTCCAAAAATTTGATGACGTCAGCTCGAAAGTTTGCCGAATAAATCATATCTAAAATGTACAAAATATGATGAGCCTGTACTTGTCATTTATCACTCCATTCATATTTTTTGGATTTGCATATACAGAGTGACTCAAAAAAAATAATGAATGCGCAAATATATTTTATTGATTTAATCAGGAACTACAAAAC